CAGTCAAAACTACAGTTTTCATAGAGGACACTTGCTATGGTATAGACAAGATTTCCCCACAAACCCACATGTTAAAAGTTTGATCATCAGGTTAAGGTGTTATTGGAAGGCAGTCAACCTTTAAAAGGTCTGGTGAGAGCAAACTAAGTCTTTGTGGACTCTCAGGTAAGCAGACCCCCTCCTCCATGAATTTGACCCTAGAATTCTGCTTTACTGTGATCTCAGAAGCAATAAACCAACTGTCTATGGACTGAATGAAATCTCCATATCTGTGAGCTAAAACCAACTAACCTTTCGTTCATATAAATTTTCTCAAGAATTTCTACCATAGTAACTGAGTTTGACCTCTGATTTGTTTTTATTTTTGTTTTTTTTTCCAAGACAGGGTTTCTCTATGTATCCCTGGCTGTCCTGGAACTTGCTGTATAGACCAGGCTAGTCCGGTCCAGAGCTCAGAGATCCATCCCCCCCACTCTGCCTCCCGAGTGCTGGGATTAAAAGCGTGTGCCACTACCACATGGAAGTGTCCCCTCCATCCCTTATTAAGAACAACAGCAGCTTGTCAACCCCATCTCTAGGACTACACCCTTGAAGATCCAATGGAAATGAGACATTTCAGGCTGAAAACTGTAGCACTCACAGAATTAAATCTATACATTGTGACAATTGTGACAGCTTAAGCTGATGGATGGAAAACAGGGGTACAAATCTATCCTAATAGACATTCCCACCTCATCTAGCTCATCTGAGGATCTGACAAGCTAGGCTTGGCAGGAACTTCACATACTAATTCTGGATCCCAGATGATACCATCCATTTTGTCTCCCGGTGGTGTCAGCAGCACATCTGGTTTTAACCCAAGTCTAGAAACAGGACAAGAAATCCCCGTATGAAGACAGCATAGTAGCATACTGCATTTCAATTCTTGTCATTCTCAAACTGTAATAACACCTTTAATTGGTCTTTGGTGAAAGAGTCACATTGACCTGCCCAGCCATTGGCTTGCTAACTTTTAATTTTTTTGGAGTGAGTCAGTTGATATGGGAATATTGCAGTTGTATGTCAACAATGGACTGCAAAAAAATGCCAAGAATTCCTGAAAACCATCTCTCTCTCTTTCTCTCTCTCCCCCCCCTCTCTCTCACACACACACAGAATTAAATGTTGACTGTTTTGCTTGTTGGTTATTCGTGTGTCTGTGATGTCTGATGTACACGTGAGAGAAGAAAGAGATTTATTTCCAATGAAATAAGAGTGTGGTGTTCAAGATGAGATGCCAACTATGAACACTAACCGTGGCTCTGAAATCAAGGAAAGAGGTTCAGCCGGGAGGTAGAACCACACGTAGATTAATAATTAGAGGTATGTCAGGGATGACATGGAAAATGAAGAGAACGGATACCTCAGTAGGCACTGATAAACTAAACCCCAGCTTGACGAGACCTCTGTATTTCGAGTCCTTGAATAATGAACTGAAACCTAATCTGACAATCAGACGCATGCGCCTCTTAAACTTATATTTTATTAAGTTGCTGCATTAGCATGCCCGGTAATGAATTTCATCGCGGCATCTTATGGCTGTGCCGTTACACTTTTCTCATTAATTCTCCCCCACTATCCTCCCCAACCCATCCCGCATCTCTATCCTTGTCCCCTTATTGCTGCCTCCTCCCACCCCTGTCCCCCATTTTTTTTCCTTCCCCCAGTTAGTCTTCCTCCAGTACTAAAACCTCTTAGCAAATGGCTGTGCCTCAGCCCATGCTGGCACTCCAGCTTCAGTCATCTGTGGGTGGCCAGCTGGCTACATTCAGATGAGACAAATTCTGAGCTGTAATCAACCCAACTGTGTATGTGTGTGTGACCAAAAAAGTTCAGCTTCATTAGTACAGTCTGCTGTGGCTGTAGCCTCATTTGCAGGCTGGCAGATTGGATGAGTATTGCATTGTTAGCTCTATGTAATAGATCAAAGTAGAAAGTGTCCCTGCCTTAGCAACATCCAGTCCAGGCTTTGACCTTGAAGTGACAACAGCACAGGCTACTACTCTACTGCAGGAGAGCCCTCCAGTTTCTGGGCTGTGACTGTGCCGCACACTTCCTGCAATGGAACTTCTTGGAACTTCTGCTGGTTTGAAGGACTTGTCAGTTAGCAAACCATTATTTGCTTGGTTAAACCTTTGAATGTGATTTGCCTAAAGTTTGTTATTACAGTCTCAATATCTTAAATGTCATGGTTACCTGAAATAAACTAACTAAATTAATTATGCGATGAACTTTAGTTCCGTTGTTGTTGTTTGCTTGTTTGTTTTGAGTTTGGCCAGTCTGGCATGTGGCCTCATTTGGGGAATTCTGCTGAGCAGGAAACCTGGCCCATCACGGCATGCTTTCCCACCCGGATCTGTACTGATGAAAGTCAACTCAGACTTGCGCTATCAGAAAAACTAGTTCATCGCTTCAGCTGCATTGGTTGAGCCGGAAGGGCTCTTAAGCCGGAAGCCATTGTTCAGCCTTATCTGCCCTAGCCCTGTGGGAGCGCTCATTTTGGAATGGTGTTAACAGGGAAAAAAGGAGCTTAGCAAGCTGGAGAAAAGACTTCCTGGTGCCATCATCTGTTCTATCAGATCCAATGAAGCCTCAATCCCAGCTCCTTCTGAGTTATCATTTGCAATGGAGAAAGATCTTCATTAATCCAAATGTTCGCAGAAAGGCGTTAGCATCAGAAAAAAAAAAAAGGAGGGGAAGCTGTATCCTAAATACATAGGAAGTGTTTAAAGAATGAAACATCTCCTTGTAAGAGGCGAAGTGGCCAGTTCTATCCAATATTCAGATTCTTGCTTCCTTGTTTTGAAGTAGAATTTAGACATAAACATGTCTCTTTCAAGATGAGAGCTTCAGAAGACACAAACGGTCAGGTCTTGAAAAGGTGACAGCAGCTGGAGTCTTCTAGGAGAAACACTGATGATGAAATGGATGTCTGTCTTCATGGTCCTTGGCTTTTCAAAGTGGCTAAGTCTCAGTCCCCCCACCCCTTTTATCCAGGAAGGAGGATCATAACTAATCGATTTCTCCCCAGAACTCTGCTGAGATTGCTTGTATAGATATGAGACCTTTTCCAACTTTGAGTTTCTTATTTATAATTTTTCTTGACTCTCAATTGATTAATCTATTCAGGCTCTCAGGCAAAATCCATTTACTACATTAAAGAGTAAAATAATTCATAACAAATGTGAACTTTTATAGTACATGTAGTTAGCAAATACTCAAGAAAAAAATCAACTTGACATACATACCCCGACAACAATTGAGGCTTTTAAAAATACCTCCTAAAATATTTTCATCATATGGTGACCCCTACTATGTGCTAGGGACCACACAGAACATTTTAATTCTGATACTATGAGGAGTTGATAGTGTTATCCTCTTATACAGATATGAAAAATGAAACTCAGAAATTGTATACCGACTTAGACAAGGAAAAGATAACCTCCATCTCCACAGAGTGAGACCATGTTCTCTACCAGGGTAGTGTGCAGCCCAGGACGGACTTCTCTGCCTGAGAAACTGTGGGCCGACACCTTTGCTACTAGAACTTGATTTATGAGGCTCCCCCGACACAAGAGGAAACATCTACATCTTTCTCGAAAGAAAGTTAGAATGCTTTTCAAACTTCTAAATGACAAAAGTGATTACAAAAAGTTGAGTCCTGGGGTCATAATTTATGCTTGACATCCTGGTATCTTCTGTCCTTATGCAGGTATAAGAATGACTTGTTTCAGCCTGGCTTAGTGGTGCACACCTTTGATCCCAGCCCTCAGGAGGCAAAGGCAGGTGGATCTCTGAGATCAAGACTAGCCTGGTTTATAAAGCGAGCCTTGGGACAGCTAGTTCCACACAGAAAAAGCCTGTCTTGACAAAACAGAATTTCTTGTTTTTTTGTTTTCCTCCCCAGCAGGTTATGAACTCTTAGAGAAGAGAGTCCATGCGCCATTCATCTCAGAATCTCTTGAACTTGGCTAAACTGTTTTCATGGAGTTTAATGGGTTTGTTGAGTAAAAGAATACACAGCTAAGGGATTGTTTTTTGCGGGTTGGTACAAGAGTAAGTGGAACATTTCACACCAAGTCCTTAAGAAACAAGAAATGCAGCACTTGAAACTGCAAGATTAAATGGTTTTTTGAGTAAGTTTTCTCATTTAACCCAATGTCAAATACCCCTCCTCCAAGCACTTGCCATGTTGTAGATACAGGACCCCTAAATCTTAGGCTCCCCATTTGAAGAACGTTTGGGCTGTTGGTCATCTTTTGATATTTACATGACCGTGTGTTGAGTATCATTCTATAAATACAGACACTTTTTAGTGAGTGTAGTAAATATGAGGTTGTACGTGACTATTCCTAGGGACCTGTGAACCAACAGCTATCCGTCCCAAGATCAATATTAAACCAAAGAAGTGATTGCACCCAAGCCTAGGGTGGTAAACCCAATGAGGTGATTGGAGCTGTTTGCAAGGAGCCTGGGTCAAGGGCTCCTTACAAAATCATGGGCGGCACTTAGAGACCAGCGTGGGTGATGGCTTACAAATACTACATCCCTACAGCCCCTGCCCAGCTTGCAGGCAGCTCCACTGAAGAGTGCCGCCACCCTCCCCAGGAGCTGTCTGCTGCTCAAACAACCTTGGAGGGGCCTCTAGTGTCTTGTGACTTTTTGAGGTCCCTAGGCCTTTGTGAGTCTGGTTAGACTTTTGAACCTCTTTCCTTCCTTCAAGAAGGAACCTTTCTATTTTGTTAGAAAAAATAACTATACAACAGTCAATAACGAGCGCATTCTAAGGGCGGGAGAGATGGCATGGATGAGAAAGACGTTTCCACTCATGTGTGGTGGTCCGAGTTCCAGCTCCGGTACTGACAGTGGATGAAGACTAAAAACTGTCCTCTGATTTCCACGTGGGAGCCATGTGTCAGGCGCACCTGAACTCACATATACACATACATACACAAACATAATTACACTATTGTGTTTTAATTTTAAAAACTAATACATACTTATCAAGCCCCTACACTTTCTTATTATTCACATACCTGCATATGAACATACACACACATATAAGATAGTAACAAATATCTCATGAAACAACATCGAGGCTCACTATATCCAGTGTACTCCTAATTGTAATAATCTAGTCTAGTCTAGTCATCTCAAATGTAATTTTCAAAATGACCGGTTTGGCTTACTGCATTGACTTATGGTCCACTAATAAGTATGGTCCCGAATTGTAAAAAAGACTGCCATAATAGAATATAATAAAGTAACATGGTTTGCCACCACAGGCCTTAATAAAAACATTATCACCTGTCAAGAATCAAACTCAGGATATTGGAGGGATTTAAATGCCTGGAGGCCTCAATTATCTCCTCATCAAGACCTTGTCATTCTCTAAATCTGGAGGACTGTTGAATTTTAAGCACAATCATCACCAAAGAGGAAAAGTAACCATTTTTCCTAGAAATCCAATAGGGTTGGAGCCCAGAAAGCCACAGAAATACGGAGTTGTCAGCCTTTCGATTTCCTGTGGCCCAGAAGAGTCTACAGGCTGTAATCTCCAGTGAGAACCTCACAGCAAATGCAATGGTGAATGCACCCACTGATTTGATTGCAGTCACGGCAAAAAGAAGTGAGGATCCTGGGGAACACGGCTGCCTACATATTGTAGGGAATACTACATATTTTATAGTAACGAGGGGAACATTTAATCAGCATTACGGTTTCTGAAGTCAGAACCCTAGGGTAACCAGCCATCCTGATTTGCCTGGGAATGTCCCAATTTTAGCTCTGAGGATCTTTTATCCCAAGAGAGTTCTCTGGTCCTATGTGAAATGCTGTGGCTGTCATCTTCACCCAGTCCTATGTTAAACTGGCGTGGCCACCATCTTGAGTGATTTTGCAGCTTATTGACTAATGATTACACTTGCAATGACACTGTAATATCCAATGGTATGACTCATCATCTCTGAATCATTCACTCAACATTTAGGGGCTGCAGTTTCCTCCTGTGCATCATGGGAGTAAAACAGAGCTTACCTGCCACCTATAGGAAGGCAGAAATATTGTGTGGTGGCTATGGTCTTTCACTGATGCAGGGGCTGGATCCAGAGACAACTCCAACACAGAGTGAGCTGGGAAGAAGCAAGGCTCTAAGAGCCAGGATTGTGGTCTTTGACCTCCAGCAGTAGCGACAACTCTTGCCACTTCTAAGTAATCTGAACAGAGATACAATGGCCTAGATGCCCAGATTCTTTCAGGATCGAGGGAAAGATAGGCATCTGTAAATAGAAGAGTTAATTTATTATAATTTTATGCATATATGCTAATATATGAACAACAAGAAAAGCAAACCACCAGCTGTGCCCTACCTCCAAAACAGAGAAAATATTATATAGATGCATTCTGTGTAAGGAAGTTAATGTTACTCCACAAGAGGTGTTGGCAATTGTCTAATAATTCCCATTTTAATTTTTTACACACATTCTTTCATGTTGGAGGTAGTCTTTTACTTTGCTTAAAATTCACAGAGTCAGCTATATTTATCTGAATCATTACCCTCTGAGATCCATATGTTCCAACTGATTTAATATGGCCTGCTTTTGTTGTGAATATAGGCCGTGGATAAAATGCTTCCTATTTATATTTTTAATTCCTTCTTCAAATGTTACTAGAAATAGACACAAAATTATTCAAAGCAGCCTATCCTTCCGAATGTAATATCAAGGGCCAATAACGCCACTGTTCTACAATAATAGTCTCTGATGACGCTGAGCCCGAAGACTGCAGAGAGACATTTTTAGAACCATGTTGAAAGAAGTTGTGCTGTACCCTTCGTAAATGGTTAAGCAAGGCAAAGTGTCAGCCATGCAGCAAAGGCTTTGGTCAGGGAAGATTCACTGCAGAAAAACGGTGAGCCTTACCAGCCAAGGCCGACAGCTTTTCCAGAGAAGTGGAGCACAAATCATACAAAACAAATTAAGACCTTTAAACAGCTCCAGAGGCAAGGAGTGACAAAGAGTAGAGATAAAATGTTAACATGACCGGGAGGACATAATGTGTAGGGAACAAATAAATCTTCACAACTCAAAGACCTCCAACCGCACTAATTAAATGCAAGTGATGTTTTTGTGCCCCATCTGTAATCCAGCTAAGCACCGAGTTAGCCATTCACCTTGGACAAACTTGGTGAGATGGGTATTAGAACCCATAGTTACCAGGAAGAAACAACAAATGTATTAAAGGCTACATAGCTATTAAATAACTGTTAGGCTTAAAATCCAGCTCTATCTGCTTCCAAAGAGAGGTGTGTGTGTGTGTGTGTGTGTGTGTGTGTGTGTGTGTGTGTGTGTGTGTGTGTACGTGTACTTAATATATGTCTAGGGCTGGAGAGATGGCTCAGCCATTAAAGGCTAGGCTCACAACCAAAAATATAATATATGTCTAGTAAGGGTTTCTATTTCAATGAAGAGACACCGGGACCACAGCATCTCTGACAAAGAAAAACCATAATATAATTGGGGCTGGCTTACAGTTTCAGAGGTTTAGTCTACTGACATCATGGTGGGCCTTGGTGGCATGTAGGCAGACATGGTGCCGGAGAGGTAGCTGAGAGTTTTACAACTTGACCTACAGGGAGAAGAAGGTCTCTGTGTGTTGCACTGGGACTAGCTTGAGCATATGAGACCTCAAAACCTGCCTCCACAGTGACACACTTCCTCCCAAAAGGACACACCTACTACAGCAAGACCACACCGCCTAATAGTGTCTCTCCCTGTGGATCAAGCGTTCAGATGCGTAAGTGTATCAGGGCCATACCTATCCCAAACTACACACACACACACACACACACACACACACACACACAGAGAGAGAGAGAGAGAGAGAGAGAGACAGTCACAAATTAAGATTAGTTTTTCAAAATCTTATTGACATAAGACTTTCATTTTTTTCTCAAGACTTAAATAGAATACCTTAAATTGGTAACTTTCAAATCAAGTTTTTGTCACTGTTTCTTAGTCTGCTCTCACATGGTGAGTAGTCATTCAATGCAGGTTAACATAAATTTCTCAAAGGTGACAGATCATGGCAGAATAGGATCACATCTCTACAGGTCAGTCTCAACTTTGGAAGAGTCAAATAGGCCTGGAGGCAGAAGATCAGGAACGCACAGGTATCTGGGAGTTAGGACATTTGCACAGCTGTCCGCATCCCACACTGAAAGTCCTGGGGATAAGTAGAGTCTTCCATTGTTAAGGGCATCACGGGTGCTCACTGAGGAAGCTCTGGTTTTGTGTAGCCCATTAATGGCAATAAGAGCCTAGGCAGAGATAACCCCCCCCCCCGGGGTTTGTATGGACAGAGCAGAATCTGCTGCATCCTCATAGTCACGGAACTAAAAGACTACACCAAGAGCTGGCAAAGCAAGTCTCCCACTTACCTGTCACCCGGTCCACGAGCCTCTTGTCCTTGCCAGTCTCTTTTGGTGTGCAAGCATCCAGGTCCTGCCATTTACCTTAGTCTGCGTGTAGAAGAATGTACAGTCGTCTGGGCAAACACTGTTCTGGGGATCGAGAAGGCACGCATAAATAAGATGAATAAAGACAGTTTTCCTAAGTAGTTCCCAGTCCAGTTAGGTATACAGATAAGACATGGCATTGTGAGTCTGGAGAGGCAGCCATTTAAAGATCAAGTCACAAGACTGGCAAGACAGCATAGAAAATGGAGTACCTGCCATCTAGCCTGAACTACCCCCAAGTTTGATGCCCCAGGAGCGTGATGGAAAAAGAAAACCAACTATTCACCCACACACATACACATACACAAAATAAATCAAAGAAGAGCTTGGATTGGCTTGGAGACACTCATGATGCTAAGACAAATGCATTGTAACCTATTCATAACAAAACGCCTTACGTCATAGAAGGAAAACCAACCATGAAAGTGTGTCCAGAGCTAAGGCGGCCAGAGACGGCAGCCATCTACAGAATATACACTTTCCAAACTGTCTAAAAATAAATGACAGATCTATGCACAGAAATGAGAGGGTGCTCAGCATCGTTTTTTTTGTTTGTTTGTTTGTTTTGTTTTGTTTTGTTTTTTAGTGCATCCTTGTGGGGTTTCCTGTGAAAATTTAACTGTCTGAGATTTGGGAGCTAAGAAAGCGTGAGGACCACAGAAACCAAGCAAGACAGATGAGCAGCAGAGGCTAGGGAAAGGATGAAGGAGTACGGTAGAGTTCAGTCAAGACTCAAGATACAGTGTGCAGATCCCAGGGGAGCTCACTGCCGTCTCTCCACCCAGAGGCACCTCTCTGCCGCAGAGCTGGAGAGTCCTGGAGGACCTGTTCCTTGCAGTTACTCCAAGGAGAGACTTACTGAGCAATGAGCAGCCAGAAAGCTCTTTCAACAGAAACACTGATGTGTGTGTGTGTGTGTGTGTGTGTGTGTGTGTGTGTGTATACATACATACATACTTACATACTTACATGTAACTCATAGCCTTTTTTGCTGAGCCCCTTTGATGCTGCAAGGTCCCTGAAGTCCAGGGCCCTGGGGTTGCTAGGCCTGTGAGCCTCCCGTTAACCCCTGTCCTCCCCATGTCCGGGCAACCCTGCTCTGGGTGTGAATTCCTGACGAGGTGAGATCAGCTTTCACGGTGCTTGTACTCGAGTTCTCCAGTGAGTTGTGGATTAGAAGACACGGAATGTTAAACCATTGCTATGGGACTAAGAGCGAATTGGTGTTCTCCCTTTGGACCTCGGAGAGGAAAATGAGAAGTGTGGCTAATCTGCAGCTTCCCAGCGCTGGTTAACATTACACGCCTGGGCACATAAGCCAGCCCTCGATACTGTTTCTTAAAAGGAATGAGCACTACTGAGAAAGACTTATGGTTTTAAAAAAATCATCAAAACGTATATTTTTTCAACAAAACTCAAAGTCAAATCGAGAGAAACAAATACTACGTGTGGCATAGCAAATAGCTGGTATTATCTATAATTCACATTACAAAACATTTAACACAAAACGTCCACTCAGTAGTGAAATTGATATAGTACATGCCATTTTAATACTATGCATTACGAAAGCTTCAGCCTTCTTCCCAAGTGGTTTCTGTCTACACATTAAATGATTGCAATGACTGTATTCTCAACTTGAGTCAGAAGTATGCAGTTTTCCCCAGAAATAGCACTGCAGTAAAACCCCAAAGATACCTGATTTTCCACAGAGTCCATACAGAGCTAAGGGATTCCAGAAACGGTTCGATTAAAGTCCTGCTCTCTGGTGAGCCCGTGGCATTTACCTGGAAGACTCAGGAGGGATAGTAAAACCACGGCATATCTTGCTCTTTTCCCTGGATGCTGCACCCATGTTGGACTGTGAGGATGTTTTTAGCTTAGAATTCTTCTCATCTCCATTACGAACAGGAACCACATTTGGCCATCAGATCTGCTATTCAGAATCTTCACCATTCAGGGAAAGACCTTTTCAACGGCAGTAGGTTCAGCGTTAGATTCCAAATCTTGGGGAGCCCAGCTACATGAGAGATTTTCTTTTTTCTTACAACTAACAACTGAAACTAAGCGAAGCAAATTGATAAATGGAATCACTCTCGTGATTCTACAGTCAGAAGCAATGTGGCTTTAGGGACAACTTGGGTCTAAGTGAGTCTCCCAATATATTGTAAAGAAACCCAACAGCGTTTTTAGCCTTGTTTTCTACCAGCCTAGAGACTGTAACTGGACACAGTCATTCCTTGGGTGCCATCAGAACTCTTGGGGTTGAACACTACTGGTTCAGTCCTCTGTTGAGCCCTGTGCCGTGACTAGCAACTGGAGATGCTGACCAGCAGCCCTTGGATTAGGCTGGAGTCACAATTAGGGGTAAGTAAGCCTCTAAAATAACACTTGGGATATAATTAGCAGGTATGCATCCTGCAAATTTCTTATTTTATTGTCTGTTCAGATACTGGTTTTGTGCATGCGTGTTTGCAATTGCCATAACAAGTTAGAGAAATGTTTAGAGTACTTCCCTGAGGAGCGTCTCCTCATTCTTCAAGATAGTACCATCAACCCAGTTAAAGAAACATTAGATGCATGATACACCTTCAGGCAATAAACTCCCACTTAAAAACACTGCTGTTGCCAAGCTCTTAATGACTCCTAATTGAATGAAAAAGAAAGAAAGAAAGAAAGAAAGAAAGAAAGAAAGAAAGAAAGGAAGGAAGGAAGAAAGGAAGAAAAGGAGGATATAACTGGTCCTAGGGGGTTGAGGATTTCATAATAGACATGAGAGAGAACAGCCAGAGACAGAGGCCTCTGGAAGAGTCCAGACTGAACACTCCTGATAAACTGAACTGTGCCAGATGAGGAGATGGGGAAAAGAGAGGGGAGAACCAGAACCCAGAGTCCAGGAAAGCAGCCCAGAAGACCAAGAGACAAAGAAACCCTTGTAGTCAAAATGACTGGGTTATATAAGAAGCAGAGAAGCTGGGGGAAGGGCAGCCCATTCCAGCCCCTGTGCTAGAGAGTTCAGAATAGGGAAAGCCTATGCTAGGTACCGGCCTCGCTAAGACTGACAAACATAGGCACCTTAGCCATTTGTCTGGAGTTGGAGTCCTAACATTAACAGCCGTTGAGTGGACGTTTCAACCATTTACTACCAATAAGACCATAAGGGCCAAGAAGGATCATTATTCAAAGAATAACCTGGGATTTGAGGTCCATACTCTGATGTTAAGTACCGGAGTCTACCTTTGGTCTTGATTCCTTTCTGCATTACATCTGTAACAAGTATTCTAGAGTTTATGAAAATACATTGATAGGAAACAGGCAGGCACTAAAGCCTAGAGAATGAGGAGATGCAGATGGTAACCTCCAACGTGGACAGGCCAGAAAATAAAGCCACCACTAGATTATTCAGTCTCCTGGTACTCCATGGTGTCAAGCCAATGCCAGCGTCAAAGTTTTCTACAATTTCCCTAAGGACACATACAAGGTTCTAGACAAGGGGGCTACAAAATCACTCTAGGTCCACTGGGGCATTTATACTGCTATTCAAGAAGACGAGGCAAGCTTGGAAAGCTTTTTTTCACACTCCACCTGCTTTGCCACAGGGTATTCTGTAGCCTTAGAAACCCTAGGATTCATTTGTTCGACAACAAACACTGTGTGTGTCGTACGCAATGTACACTCAAATACGTCCTTGTCGTGAAAACAGAAAAGACAACGAGGCCCAGGAAGACTAAATAGTTTGCTGAAGGTTTCAGACTTTGAAAGCAGCTCTGTGTGACGCAAATAGCCTGGGATCCTCCCAGACAGCCATGATTCCTTCTTGTGCAGTCTGGAAATGTTGCCTTGCTGCTTTCCAGCAATTTTTTTCTGATGCCAACCTCTGCCACAGCCTTCTTGAGCCTCTGGTATTCCATGATTCCTTTAAAAAAATAGTTACATGTATTGGTTTACGGGAATAGGGCCCATGCTGTAGCATGCATGAGGAGGTTGGATAATAATTTGCATGAATCGGTTCTCTCACCGTGTGGGTCTGTGGGTATTTGAACTCACATCATTCGTCAGACTTGGAGGCGGGTGTATTTATCTGCTAAGCTATCTCGCCAGCCTTTATCCTGTCCTTCATTCTCCTGTCTGGAACCAGGCCTTAGACCACTCTGGTGCGGTCTTCCCTAACTTCAACTGTTCCATTGAACGGACCTCCTCATTCTAAGACCCATCACCTAGACTAAGCAATTTCTTGCTCACTTCTCCCAGACTCTAATATCTCTTGACACTGTTTGACTGAAGTTATAAAACTAACCTTTGCACAGCTCCAATGACCAGCCTTCTGTTGACACACTAGATCCCTAAACAGGAAAAAAAATAGTCCTTAGGGTCTTTCCCAGAAAAATCTTCTACTTGGATCTTTTGACCCACAAACTCTAAGAATGGGTACACCATAAAAGATGAGACTGTGACCTGTCTAATTTCTGTAATTGAGAAATTATTGCAGGGATAAGAATTCCTGCAGCTACTCTGGAAAATAAAATGAAATGGTGATACAAAAACATGCACTTTAACCTGGGATCCTAGGACACAAAAGTTGCAGGGTTTAAGATTGCACATATATCCCTTCTCCAGCAGAAAAGCTACGTCTGACAGAGAGCCTGAATAAACCTCTGTGCACGCAAGCAAAGCATGCAACCCTTTAAAGAAGCAGACTAGGTCAATAATAGCCTATGGGAATGTCTGCTCCCTTGGACCAGCCTGACACTCCACTCACCATGCCCACACTCAGTGACTAATAAACACAAGCCGGAACCATGAGGTTCACTCCTCACTGACCCTGCTCCAGCAGTAACACACTCTAAATCCCTCAGTCACGGCCTCCCTTTAGGCTTTACAATTTGTCCCTGTGGCCTCTGGCCATAGCCATTCTAAAACTCAACTGTAGTGCTGCCTGGTAAAGCCCTTTAAAAGAACGAGTTCCATCTACGTGTATAGGGCTGCAGCACGATCCAGAGTTTGTAGGGAAGTTGTATCATAGGATGTTGTTTTTTTTTAAGTAAATAATGTCCAAAAAATCAGGTAGATAAAGCTATAAAAAGATGCATATTTAGATATTTATATGAATTTGAGTAAAGTTGATGATTTTTCTTTCACCAAGCAATTTTTATTGACAGCATAAGATAATTAGGATCGGAACAGAGACAGGATGGGGATATTTTACTATATTTAAATAAATATATTCTTTCTCCTTTTGGGGGGGTGTTGAGTCAGGGTTTCTCTGTGTAGTTTTGGAGCCTGTCCTAGAACTAGCGCTTGTAGACCAGGCTGGTCTCAAACTTACATAGATCTGCCTGCCTCTGCCTCCCTAGTTCTGAGATTAAAGGTATGTGACACCATGGCCCAGCTATACATAAATATTTTTAAATTACAAAACCTTTGGTATAATTCTATAGTGAAGTCACCACATACAAGTAAGATAATTTTATATTTAAGCTTTCTTATTCATTTATCTATTGTGTGTTTATACATGTGGGTTGCCTGTATGTGGAGCTCAGAGGATAACACGTGAGAGCCAATTCTCTCTCTCTAGCATTTCAGATCCAGAGATCAAACTCAAACCACCAGGTTTGGCAATAAGACCATTTATTGATGGAACCAGCTCTCCATAATTTCAAGAGAGTATTTTAAATAAGAAAAATTTTCACAGGAGAATGATCCCATCCATAGTGTGCCTCTGGGGGCAACAGTGAAAAGCATTGTTTCATATAATGCCAAGAAGGCCAGCCCTGCATGCCTATAACACCCCTCCTACCTCCCTAAGAAACAGCCCAGGAGTCCGCTGTGCTATCAAGAGTCACAAAAATCAGCCTTCTCATTTGGGTACTTCCTGGCAAAAAGACCATCAAATAGAAAGTGTGGGACTTGAGTCTCCAAGAAGTCTGAAGAGGAAACAGGAGGCACAGACGGGGTGACGAGGAGCAGCTCACTCGCTTGGCTTGGGATTCACCTGCGGATCCCAGCATGTCTCCCTCCAGAAGAGACATGACAGGTGACCTTGTCTGCCATGCAATTCAGTGGGCACACCACAGTTTGACAAATCACTATCGACTTTGGCATTTCGTGCGTGCGTGCATGTGTGTGTGTGTGTGTGTGTGTGTGTGTGTGTTTAAATGTGTATGTGTGTATTTATGTCTGTGTGTGTATATGTGTGTATATGTATGTATAAGTGTGTATGTATGTGTGTGTATTCATGCATATGTGTGTATATGTGTGTATGTGTGTGTTTTATATAAAATGATGGCATTATAGTCCACTGTCACCTTTTCATAGCACCTATCAGGAATGATGGGAGTCCTCAAAGAATTTCGGTATATGTAAAATAAGCCTCAACTTTGAGCCACTCCCCAAGAGGTATTTGCAACAGTGAACCTTTCATTTCGATCAAGAGAGCACGTCAAATATAAGAAAGACTGGGAGAATCAATCTACTCTAATTTATACAGAAAATAAATCTTCATAAGCCTCAATATTTCATCATGAGCAATAGAGTACATGAGTCACACCAAAATGTGATTGCACAAACCTCATTAATCACAACAGAGGATTTCTAACTCAATCCCAGAGAGCGTTACAGCAAGTAATGGGGGTTCTATGAGGAATTTTAAGTGCGTCTGTTTGAAAGGAGCAATGTGGAAAGCCCATGTTAACAACCATAAAAGGAAGTGTCTATCCTGCCCCCTCCCCAGCCTGGCACCTTAGACACTGTGCACCTGCTAACCTGCCGACAGACATGTACCATACAGCATCCTGAAGCTCCCATCTCAGATCTGCTCTGCATCCCAAAATGCGAGCCCATCATTGTCGCCTAGGGTTTCTGTCTTTTGACCCTATGACTCTTAATTCTCTGATCACTAAGGAATGATTTCAACATACCTAGAGACAGTCTCTCTCTCTCTCTCTCTCTCTCTCTCTCTCTCTCTCTCTCTCTCTCTTCCTATCACCTTGGAGAAGAGAGTCGATGCTGGCCATTCCCTCTAATACTTGATACCCACCCACTGTTACCAACTTGTTCAGTCCAAGTCCCTTCCCAAGGAAGCAGTCAAAAAAAGATGTCAGAAATAGTAAAGGCATTTGGGGAGGAAGGAAGTAGAAATCAGTAGAAATCTGATAAGAGCAAAATTACAAGGACTCAGATCAGAGACAATAAAGAAACTCTACATAAAAAGGAGCTGAGTTGACAATGACTAATAGTATGCGGGAGAGAAAAAAAAGAATTCTATAAATTTGCTACCCTTAAGCAAATGTATACCTCAACACACATAGAATAGAAGTCAACATAAATTCAACTTTTGGTGTTTGTTTTAATCCCTCATACCCGGGAGTTAGGGGTGGGGCCCTTACTCACGCTTTTAAGGTATAGTTCTGAGGTATACGTCTTGTATCTTGCCCTTCAGCATTAGAAGGAACAATCCCTCGTTTCAGGGCTCTTACCATCATTGTGGAAAATTCTCTCCCTGCATGCGATGGCTCCAGGTTGTAGCCTTAACCACTGTACCTTATGAGGCTCAAATCAACAGCAGTGTGTTTTACAGGATCATTTTTTTCTCCCTATGCTCCAATCGTATCTTAAAAGGTATCATAACTCAACGATCTTTTGCTCGGTGGCAATAAAGACGCCAGTCTCTTACTTGCAGGTGTTTCACGCTTTTATGGAACCTTCTAGGTCTCCGTTTACATCTATGTGACTCGCTTGGCTCCCGCGTGCGTTTCCATTTACTGTCTCTTGTGTTATTTTCATGGCTTCACCTATGTTATCTATTGGCAGCCACTCAGATCGTGGCAATCCGTGGCTGAAAACGGCTCCATTCTCCTCTAAGATTCCTCTTCCAAAGCTGCCTGCCTGCCTGCCTGCTGCTGCTGCTGCTAGGAATTCTCCCACCCTCATCTTCTAGTCTCTGGTCCCCGCTGCCTGTTTCCAGTACCCTGCGCACCCTTCAGACACCTTACCCGGGGACAGTAGAGAATTCAGACTGAGTGATGCCTGACACCGTTCTTGCTGCAGCACAATATTGTCAAACACCAGCACGGGCTGAGGCAGCTGGTAGCAGAGGGGACTCATCAGTCATTTCATGACCTCTCACCCACAGAGCCTGAGCAAAACCACCTCCTAAAAGAGATGAATTCCCAGCCAGGGATGGTGACATGTGCCTACAGATCCATCACTCGGGAGGTGGGGTTAGGGAAGATCATGGCTTCCAGGTCAGTTTAAGATGCACGGTCTCATTTATAAATAAAAAAATAAGTGAATGTGTGCAAATAAGTAAAGGTTAATTCCCTGTGCCACTTGAAAGACCTACCACCCGTCTCCATGCGTGAATCACGGGGATGCAGAGGAATAGACAATGTTCCTAATCAAGTACCTGATCAGGCTACATCACACGCAAACCGACAGCATCACAAATGACTTACACCGCTATCTGAATATATGAATCCATTTTAAAATCCCCAGTGTTTCTCATCTTCCTACTTGGGGAACAGATGATGTGGGAGCATCAACAGCATTCTTAATTTGGATGAAGCTGAGATGGACTCTGTCCACCACGGCAATTAGTCTACTATCCTGGCATTATGGGAACTCATGTTTATATGGGCCGTCCCATCTCCACTCCCCACTGCCTACAAATTCATAGGTGATATACGTGGACATGAGGCCTTTAGGAATTTATTAAATTTAGATTTGATCATGGAGGTCAGACCTACACATAAAGGTTAATGTCCTTAGAAGATGAAGTAGATTCACCCCCCCATTTCTGCCCAACCCAGACACAACCAAGAATAGCAGAATAAGCCCACAGCATGAAGAGAGCGGTCCACAGTCAGAACTGTGAGAAATAAATGCTTGTCATTTAAACTGTCCACCCTACAGTATTTTGTTACAGCAGTCCCAGCTGACTAAGCCATCCGGTAGCAAATGCAATAATCGTAAAAATCAAAATTAATAAACTGTAGTTGCACATCTAATGGCTAGCCATCAGCGCGCTAACTTCCCTTGGTGCAGAACCAGCCGTGCTGTCTGCTCTTGGTGACTCCGGATGAAACGGGCTACATTAAGACAACCATCTGTTCTGTTTGATTTGATGCCTGGAACTAAGACAAGAAACAGCAAGTTTATAGGCAGTGCAACTTAAACTTAACACAGCAGAAGGTAAACAATGTCTTCGTTGGAGGCACTGGACAGACTATCCTCCAGGAATGTGACTTGAATTAACTGTTGCCCCATAACAATCCAGTGGGCTCGATAAGTGCTAAATGTTTACGCAATTCCACGGCTCCAACATTGACTTGTTTTATTTTATCACTCTTTCACGCTTCATCGGTGAGAAAAAGCCACAAACATTATATAAAGATTTCAAGGCCAATTAGGTTATTCAATGATTATTTTTGCTGTCTGTGCGTGTAGACTACTGATGGCGTCTTGCTGATAGAGAGAGCTTCCAGCTGCTGGGCATTAAAGGATTCCTTGATTCTTACTAGGAGGGCGAAAGCTTCCCCTGGTACTTAGCGAGAGTGGTCACCCTCCTGCCAGCTCTTAAAATTGTTGGTAGCATTCCGGTAGGAACGGAACCTAAAAGCATTAGGTGCTAACTGCAAACAGCTGCTTTGCCGAACCAAACAGTGTACGGCTTTCAGAATAAAAACGTAAGTGGACAAGATGTACCACTGCTAACAATGCATTCTTCCACACAAGAGCAAGACCCGAGAAACGTCCTGGATTTGTGGGGCGCACACAGATTTTTTTTTTAGGAGTATGGTGACTTTATTTCTTCATGACGGAATTTCCCCAGATCTCTTAAAATTATGTCTTTTCCCGTGTTTCATGAGCAATTCCCTCTTACTGCCTGCAAGGGTAGTCAAATTACTTTTAATCTCCTCCTTCCAGGTTATTGAAAAGGATATCCAAGCGTAAGTGGCCTCATAATAATAGCCCAACTGACATTCTGCTAGACAGCCTTATCCTTGCTCAATCTAAACCAGAACCATCTTTCATTATGGTTTATGTGCCTCCGCTCCCTTTTCCAATCTGTTCAGAGCCTTTTTGATGTGTCACTCCTCCGCATGGAATTCTCTATTATCCTCCCGTCGGACTGAAGGGCAAGCCCACAACTGCTAATTCACACCAGAGACCTTCGGTGAGCTCGTCCTAACCTGACCCCATGCCTTTGGTCTCGCACCGCCTTCTTTTTCGTTTTCCACTCTGGAAGCCATAGCTACATTTTCGCATCTCCCACAAGATAACCTTCATTTGTGCGTGAAGGACTTTACACAGGCACGACACCTAGGAGCTGCATCTGGAAGCTTGGGCTCCGTCAGTTTTCCGTTAGCTTCCTCTTCTTCCTGCTAACCCTCTTCATAATACCTACCACGATTAAGTCATGATTTGTGAGTTCCTTGGGGGCGGGGCCTGAATTTGTCACGCTCACGCCTGTGGCCTCTGGTATAAGTCACAGACTTTCAGGAAATGCTTACAGAATGAGAAAATAATGAGCGAATAAGGTTTTTCATAAAAAGCCTACTTTTGAATCAGGCAGCAATTTTCTGCAGACTTTATGTGCCAAAAGAAGAAAATGTTGCTTTCATTGTAGTACCAACAAGAGTTTCACTTGAGGAGACCATTGCGCATTTTCCTTTTCAGCCATCTGAGATGAAAGAGACAAGGCAAAATTGACAGTATATACAGAGGAAGTGTATGCCACAAAGCCAGGATGATATTTCTACTATATTTGGAAGCTTCCAGTTTTAGATATACCCTAAGGAGTTTGTCTGGTTCTTACAATTATCTGATCCTGTGACAGATAGAGTCCCCTGCGATCACCTTCCGTTTCTCGAGAAGTTATGAAAGGCGTTATAGTTTGAAGAGTCTTTGGCACAAAAAAAATCTTCTGGGCAAGAAGACTGTATCCAGTGGTGTGGCAGTAACGGTTCACTGTCCACTGGGCTGTTGCCCTTTGGGGGTTCGGACACACACAGCAGCCCCTCCCCCCAGCCTCAAAGGAGCTCACAGTTCAGTCTGAAAATAACTAAGGACAACTCCAGGCAGACGCTCTTAGGCAATCACTTCGGCCTAGAGAACATGTAGGGTATGGACATGACTTACCCTGCCGTGAAAAAGCCAACATCAAAGTTTGGAGTTGAAGCAGGAGTAGGTATTTGATGGGGGAAGTCTTCTGTGCATATGTTTCTCTTGTTCCTTGATGAATAAAACACTCTTGGCCAACAGGGAAGCAAGATAGGTGGGATTAGGAGTCGAGGAGGATTCTGGGAAATGTAGTAAGGAGAAGTCACTGTGTGATCCAGACAGGAAGTGACTTGGCAGGGCAGAATCAGTATATAAGCTGGAGCAAGCAATAGCTCACTCTCTTCTCGTCTCTTCTTTGTGGAGACACTGAGCAGATGTGATATAGAGCCCAACGGAGTAAAAGGCCTGGACCTTTCTCCAGTAAGAGAAGACGATGTGATAATACTTTGATTGTCAGAAATGGGTTAATTTAGACAGAGCTAGCAAATAAGAAACCATAGCTAGCAGCCAGCAGCCAGCAACAGCATTGTAACACAGAGTCTCTGTGTGTTATTTGGGGGCTCTGAAGCGGCGATGGGACCCAGGCAGGAATCCCGTAACAAACACAGAAAGATTAGGGGAGGGGCACTCCCTGAGTAAGGCATATCGTAAGTGGTGTCCCTTCCTGTGACTAAACACGTTCAAGCACAGAGCACCCGAGGAAATGCAAGGAATCCCGCTGCTTTCGGGATGGTGGTGGAGTAGAAGCAAGGGCTTCTTCCATGCTATGCAGAGAGCCTGGACCTCACGCCAAAGGCAGCACACTGGGAGAGCAGCTAAGACTTTGAACCTGGGGAGCAGTGGGTGGCTGCTTTAGACAGATGATTGGGACAGGACCCTGTGAAGACCCTGGATTACAGTGGGGTGAGAAAGAGGTAGAAAATCATGTGTGACAGAGACCTCATCCCAGTAAGCCCAAGTCTCTATCCATCGCTGTTGCTCCTGAGTTATGGATGTGTCTTCATACTTCACAGGTGCCAAGAGACTTCTTTTTTTTTTTAAATGATGGCATTCTGCTGTCTTCTTGATCCACAAATCTCCTTTAGGTCTTCTTCCTCCTCTTCCTCATCATCCTCCTCTTCTTTTTTAAACATTAGTTACCATTTTGTATCATAAACTTAAGGGAAGAAGGGCTGGAGAGATAGCTCAGAGGTTAAGAGCACTGGCTGCTCTTCCAGAGGTCCTGAGTTCAATTCTTGGTAACCACATGGTGGCTCACAACCATCTGTAATGAGAACTGGCACCCTCTTCAGACATGCAGGCAGAACACTATGTACACAACGAATAAATAAAAAATTAAAACAAAACTTAAGGGAAGAAGTAAGAGCAACACTTAGCAAAGCAAGAAGATCTGATGGCCAACGTGAATGTACGTTTAAATAAGGTAATTCACTGCTGCGAAGGTTGCTCATCGTACGCCATCACCAACCATCATCAACCTGGTATCAAATGCAATGGCGATCACCGTTGCCCTTTGTTGAAGTGTTGAATAGATTGTGTTGTGGCTCTAGTCTCTCATATTGGGACCTCTCCAAAAGCTCTCTGCTGGCACAGTTGGTGGCTATTGTCCTCTGCTGGCTGGGACCTCAGCGAGGGTTCTCATCTGGACCTCTGTGTGGTCTGGGTTTCCTCAGGGCATGCTGTAGAATTGTACAGTGAGTAAGCTGAGGAAGACCCAAGTCTCTTCTTTAGAAGTGAGTCACTGTGGCTGGTTTGTTAAAAAGGACAAGAGTTAAGAGTTCTTATTTAATCAGGGAAATTTTTTTAAAAGACAGATTTCTTTAGCAACTGCCAGAATTTTTTCATGTCTCTGAACAACTCAAGAGATATTTCCTTTCATTCTGGTGCAGGACGAAGAAAGTGGTAAACAAACCACCATAACCAACAACGTCTGCAATAGATCAAAAGGTTGTAAAACTTCCCGTCTACATTCTCTGATGAACATCCCGATCTTAAGAGACTGAAGGATAAATCCATATGCAAAAGCTGAGCCTAGGCCATGGGAGTCTTCCCGAAGCAACAGCCTCCTGGAAGGTAAGAAGGGAGCTACGACTATCGTGCCTTCAGCTTGAGGGACAAGCAGTCAGTTTCCAAAGTGGGAAGAATCTGAAAACTGACGCTGGAATCTATGTAGAATTGTAAGTGGTTGCCATCATAGGGTATGGGGGAAGGATAAGTCTTTTTAAAAATCCTTTACATCATCCAAAGGTGACAAGGAACACATCCAGCTATTATGTACAGAGAAACCTGGATCCAGGGATGACAGAACTACATAAAAACTTTCGTGAAGGAATTTTCTTATAACAAGATTTATTTCCATCCGGGTGTGATGTGCTTTTCGCATCTGCCTTACAAGAGGAAGAGTATTTGAAATTCACACAGCTTACAACTGGGTTATACTAATGCCATTTACAATGTCTGTGTGATAATTTTCTATACCCTGATCGGCAGAGAGGGGGAATGAGCATGACAGGTATAAGTGTGGAGAGGGGAGAAAAGGGAGATGCTCTGTCTGTGTGGTTTGGACCTACTGTTGGGGAGAGAAGAAGGAAGCGTTTGCATTCTCGTCCATTTAGAGATCTCCTGGCTTCTCTATCTGCTCCTCGGGAGGGCAGCTTAGGGTAAAAGAATAGACTAAGAGGCAATGTTTGGTGGCCCTGTAATTACTGACCTAATAGTGAACTGATTCCTGACCGTTTCAACAAGGAGGTCTCAAATTTTAACCCTCATAAAACTCAAAAGGACCTCTGCTTGCACACTGGCTGGCTATTGCTGGCTGTGGGCTGTGACCTCAGCGAGGGTTCTCAACTAGGCCTCTGTGTGGTCTGGGCTTCGTCAGGGCACACTGTGGGATTCTACAGCGAGTGGGCTGTGGAAGACCCACGTTTATTCTTTACAAGTGAGTCACTATGGCTGGTCTGTTAAAAAAAAAAAGGCAAGACAGAGTTCATATTTGGTAAGTGAAAAATGCTTACTTAAAATATTTGGTAAGGGAAAAAATGCTTATTTAAAAATGCTAATTTCCGGTTCTCACACATACCACCAAGATTCCAGCTCAGCAGTAGGTCTGGTGTGGAAAACTGAAGTGAAGGGGACCGTCTTCTGTGGACCTGCCACTGTTCTGGCCTCAAAGGACGCACCTTTGAATAAAATACGGCCTCTACCCTTATAGCTGGCCTTCCAGACAGAGGGACACACAGTAAACATGTGTTTTTTCATGCAAAGAAGGGACGCGATGGACAAAGAAGTATTCTAACATCTCAGGGTGTAGGGCTGTGGTAGAACATTTGCCTACCATGTGCAAGCCTTGAGTTCAGCCCCCAGCACTTATAAAAGGAAGGGAGGGAGGGAGAGAGGGAGGGAGGGAGGGAGGGAGGAATAAAAAGAAAGGAAGGAAGGAAGGAAGGAAGGAAGGAAGGAAGGAAGGAAGGAAGGAAGGAAGACAGAGGCGGGAGGGAGGAAGGATTCTGGATAGGTAAAGGTAACTCTATGACATGCTGTGTTACTTATTTCATTCAAAATGTAGCATACCTACAGAAAAAGCAGTACATACCTGTGGTGTAAAATGGAAAATAAAGCCTCTAAAGAGAGGAAATTATTAACCGGGCGGTGGTGGCGCATGATTTAATCCTAGCACTTGGGAGGGAGAGACAGGCCTGGACCGACAGCCTCCAAAACAATACAGAGAAACCCTGTCTCATAAAACAAAAAACAAAAAAAGAGGAAATTATTAAATTGTGCCAAGTCCCTTGCACAACCTCTTAAAAAGACAGGAAGAAACACCATGACCGATATCATACAGAGAGCCTCTTTATCTAGTCATTTAACAGACATTTATTGAGCACCTACTGTATTCCAACCACTGGTCCAAGAGCTGGACCTTCTTCTCCTGATTGTGACAATCTGTCTACCATAAGCTATAAATGAGTAAATACAGTGTCAGGCTGTATGTATATATATATGATGGAGAAAGCTAAGCAATGAGGAAATGATTCCAAGTCTGGGTAAAAAAAACATAAGGATATATAAGTGGGATTCAGAGTGGAAATATCTGTGGGAAATAAAAGAATGGAAATTTTACCTCAGGGTCAGAATGGGAAAGACCAGGGTCAGGGAACCAATAGAGATGACTTAAAATAGAGAGAAGGGAGCAGGTCCATGTGAGTCTCTCGGCTTCCTCACGCCAATAGAAAGCCCTCTCTTTGGGGCTGATAGGAAACTAGGAAGAGTTGTAAGGGGAAGGAACACGTTGATTGACTGTAGCGGAAAAGCTGGTGGGAAACCAATGGGACAGGCATTAGAAAATACCTGGAGAGCAAAATAACTTAGACAGCGTTGTCTGACCCACTCTTACGGAGCCTCTCCGCCTCCATCCAAGCTCTCGGGTGCTGTCTTCCGTCTGCACCCGACACATCTGGGCTTGGATGCCCATTCTGTCTGCGCACGACACATCTGGGCTTGGATGCCCATTCTGTCTGCGCCCGACACATCTGGGCTTGGATGCCCAGCCCTTGCAGGGTCTTTGTTCACTCAGCTTGCAAATTCCCCACCCAACTCCCCTCCCATCCAAACTCAATCCCTTTCTGTCTCCCATTAGAAAACAAATAGGCTTCTAAAGAATAATAATAAAATATAACGTGATAAAACGAAACCTAATACATCAGAACAAGACAAACCAGATGGCAAAAAAAAAACAAAAACAAAAACCCAAACAACAAAAAAGGAAAAGAGCCCAACAGCCCAAGAAAAGGCACAAATATATATATATATATATATATATATATATAGAGAGAGAGAGAGAGACAGAGACAGAGACAGAGACAGAGACAGAAACAGAGAGACAGAGAGAGAGAGACAGAGAGAGACTCCTTTGCATACTCGGAAATCCCATAAAAACACTCAACTGGAAACTATAATATATATGTGTGTGTGTGTGTGTGTGTGTGTGTGTGTGTCGTGTGTGTGTGTGTGTGTCTGTCTGTGTGTCTGTGTGTCTGTGTGTATGCAAAGAGCCTGTACTGTAGAAGGAGAGGAAGAATACATAAGTAAAGATAAAAGTAAGATTAAACAACAACAAAAAAGCCAACAACCTGACACTACATTATGAGACAAGGAGCTTCCG